AGAGAGAAATAAAGCAAATGTGAAGCTTTTAAATGTGAAGCATGCAGGACAAAAATTAGAGCAGAAATTAAGAAAACCGAAGTTGAAAACAAGGCAGAAAATGAACAAAACCAAAGGCAATTCTTTGAAAAGATAAAAATAGAGGCAATGAATTCATAATGGCCACAAACTGCCCAACCTAGTATGGAACATCAAATGCCTGCTCTTTCCACCCTCTCAGTGCCTTAGTTTCGGCAATGAGTAAGAGATAGAACAAGTAGGAAGAAGACTGACTGTGTAGGGGGAGGGGAGTGATGATTTCTTGGGACATAAGGTTGGTGCTGGAATGTTATATAGCCAGAAACTGGCATGGGGAGTGCAGAGTAGGGATGCTGGAAATACACAATTATATTTTTCATTTATGAAACTTTCATCACTTACAAAAATAATTCTGTCTTTAAACTATGATTGTTTTCTTGTCCAAGGGAGCCACTGAGTTTACAGATTCTCAAATATTTCAGTCAATCCATGTATCTCTAATAACACTTATTTCACCAACGTCATTCTGGTTTTGATGTCTCCCATAATTCATTATTGTAATTTAACCAGATGTGCAATTTTCTCTGGATTGATGTAAGATAAAGATAACTGGCCAGGCCTGGTGGTTCACGCCTGTAATTCTAGCACTTTGGGAGGCTGAGGCAGGTGGATCACTTGAGGTCAGGAGTTCAAGACCAGCCTGACCAACATGACAATACCCTGTCTCTACTAAAAATACAGAAATTGACTGGGTTTGGTGGCCCGCATCTTTAATTCCAGCTAGTCAGGAGGCTGAGGTGAGAGAATTGCTTGAACCCAGGAGAGGCTGCCGTTAGCAGAGATCACGCCACTGCCGTACAGCCTGGGTCACAGAGCTAGACTCCATCTCAAAAAAATAAAAATGACTGAAGCACTGCAATAGCACCTGGAGCTTAAATCTTGGGTGTGAGTTCATGACCAAATTTGTGTAATGTATTGACTAAATCTCATGCTTCCAGCACATTTATGCTAATATATTTCATAATACATTGTGGATATCATAACAATATTATTTCCCAATTTATTTTTGTTTTATTTATATATATTTCCCTATTTAAAAGGTTAAAAATATGTAAGAGTAAGATTTTTATTATTATTATTATCATTTTATTTTATAAAGATGGGGTTTCACCATGTTGGTCAGGCTGGTCTTGAACTCCTGACCTCAGGTGATCCGCCCGCCTTGGCCTTCAAAGTGCTTGGATTACAGGTGTGAGCCACCATGCCTGGCCAGGGTAAGATGTTTTAAAACTGTAATACCAGGCCCTAAAAAACTTCTGGTTAAATGTCAGGATAGACCAAAGAGATTTTCAGATACATAGGTCTCAAAAACTTTCTCATGTACGTTATTAGAAAGCTAATGAATTCAGGAAATTAGACAACTGCAGGGGACAGTTTGGAAATGAATTAAGAATAAGAACACGAAGCCCTTTTCTTTTGCCGACATCACTGAAGCAGAAGTGCCCAAAATAAAGTTCAATCCCTTTGTCTTCTGACCGAAGCAAGAACAACAAAAGGCATTCCAATGCACCTTTCCACATTCGCAGGAAGATTATGTCTTCCTCTCTTTCCAAAGAGCTGAGACTGAAGTACAAGGTTCGATCCACGCCTACCCAAAAGAATAATGATGCTCAGGTTGCAGGAGGACACTATAAAGGTCAGCAACTTGGCAGTACTTTGTTCGGGTTTACAGAAAGAAATGTCATCTACAGTGAACGGGTGCAGTGGGAAAGACTAATGGTCCAACTGTCCATGTAGGCATTCACCCAGCAAGGTAGTTATTGCTAGGCTAAAACTGTGCAGACGGCAAAAAGATCCTTGAACAGAAAGCCAAATCTCACCAAGTAGGGATAAAAAAGGGCAAATATCAGGAAGAAACAATTGAGAAGGTGCAGGAATAAAGTACTCTGGTATACAAGCTTTAAAACTTGAAATGAGGTCGGGTGTGGTGGCTCACGCCTGTATCCCAACACTTTGGGAGGCCAAGGTGGGTGGATTACCTGAGGTCAGGAGTTCAAGACCAGTCTGACCAACATGGTAAAACCCCATCTCAATAATAATAAAAAAAAAACTTAAAGGGGGGACGATCCAAGATGGCCGTTTAGGAACAGCTCAGGATTGCAGCTCCCAGTGAAAGCGCAGAGGGTGAGTGGA